GCTGGGGTATATATTCAGCGCCATGAAGGCGCCACTCTAGGGGGCTCCACAGCCGACCCGCCGGTGTTGCTAGGGTAAAATCTTCCGACGATCGTGCACGCGGCGCGCACACACCTAATGGAATGGATATGAGCAACACATCTCGAAGAACAACAGTTACAACGGTGAGTAACCGTCTTTTTTTCCTTGAAGCCCTCTCCTCAGCAACTTGATCATCAAAGTGAAAGTAACAAGAATTAGCTTACACTCTGTTCATTTATGGAGCTGAACACCAACTGGAGTAAGGAAAGTTTTAGTATGTCATAATCTGACATTGCCTCTCTTTTGAGCAGATATCCACCAACTTCAGAAATTAAAAAAAAAAAAAAGACATCTCTCCTTCACATAGATATAGCTATTGCTCCAGTGACTCTTTGGTCAAGAATCAGGGTACCATCTGGAAATAAATTTATCACCAACTTAATTGTGGTTTTCTAAAGCGTTTGTGTAAGTTAATATAGTGCTAAGTATACTGAGAGTTTGATTTTAAATTCTGTCTATGAGATTGGTATTTTTTAAAATGTAGGGCATCTAGAATTCTAGCTGTGTGCTGGAAAAATAAAAGGGATGGGGATGGGTAATAATTTAGAGATGTGTCCAAAGCTAAGCTGTGCATCTTCATCCCCAAAATCCTGTACAAAAATTCACTAATTAACTACCTCATGTGAGGTAGGTAAGTACCTTTATCTCTCTGTCACTATTAAAATGGGTGAATCTTATAAAATTCAATTATTGCTGAGCCAGTGTACTCTGACAAATAGCGTAGAGCTTAATAGAACCATGTATGTAAACCCAAACAACTTCTTTTTCTGTTTGTGATTGGTGTTGTGGGCACCAACGTAGGAAGAGCAGAACTTTGAGGTAGGCATCATGAGACAGATTCAACTTGCTAATAGACTGTTGTGCCACAGGAGTTTGATTATACTTGCAGTAAATAATTGCTTTGCACTCGTTGTAGGTATTCTTTATGCATTATCTGAATCTGAAAAAGTCCTACAGGGTGCCATCCAGCAATTATGTGCTATGTGGTGGGAGAAAGGACTGGAAGGAAAAGAACAGCTGGGGAAAACAGCTTTTATTCTGCTGCTAAGAAAAAGTCTGAAAAGCAAAACTGTTACGGTATGTTGAAGCTATGTGGATAACTTCATAATTGTTATTGAATATCCAGAGTTCATATGTCTTTAAAATACCCTTCATTTTATTTGAGCTAATTGGTCTTCTCTGTCATAAAGGCCCCTAATATAATTTATCCAACATATGTTTAAGGCTTATTGGGTCTAAAGTGTCTCCAATGATACCTGTCTTGCAATTTGTGTTTTTAAATTGTTATAATCCGGTGTAGAATGAATTTAAAACTTGAATCCTTTTGAAAATATCACATAAGTTAGCCACTTCTTCTGCAACCTTTCCTGTCACTTCCTCCTCTTCTCAAGCCCGCCCCCCCCCCCCCTAAAAGTTAAGGGTCAATATTTGTAGAGTGACTAATGATTTTGGGCGACTCAATTTTGGGCTGTCGTTCCTGAAAAATCTTAAAGGGGCTTTATTTTTCTGAGTACATGTGCTCAGCACTTCCCAGAAATTATCCTTTTTTAATTCAGCCTCATGCTAGATGAGCCTTTATTGTGCGATGTCATGGGTGCTGTCCCTCTGAGGGTCAGGCACCCAGGCTCTGCTAAGGAGAATGAGCCAATCTAGATCCACCTCTGGATTGGTAATGGGGTAAGAACGGCCATACTGGGTCAGACCAAAGGTCCAATTAGCCCAGTATCCCATCTTCTGACAGTGGCCAATGCCAGGTGTCCCAGAGGGAATGAACAGAACACTAATCAGCAAGTGATCCATCCCCTGCTGCCCATTTCCAGCTTCTGGCAAACAGAGGCTAGGGACACCACCCGTGTCCATCCTGGCTAATAGCCATTGATGGACCTATCCTCCATGAATTTATCTAGTTCTTTTTTGAGATGGGGCGACCACATCTGCACATAGTATTCAAGATGTGGGTGTACCATGGATTTATATAGAGGCAATATGGTATTTTCTGTCTTATTATCTATCTTTCTTAAAGATTCCCAATATTCTGTTTGCTTTTTTGACTACCGCTGCACATTGAGTGAATGTTTTCAGAGAACTATCTACAATGACTCCGAGATCTCTTTCTTGAGTGATAACAGCTAATTTTATATGTATAGTTAGGATTATGCTTTCCAATGTGCATTATTTTGCATTTATCAACATTGAATTTCATCTACCATTTTGTTGCCCAGTCACCCAGTATTCAGAGATCCTTTTGGAGCTCTTCGCAGTCTGCCTGGCACTTAACTATCTTGAGTAATTTTGTATCATCTGCAAATTTTGCCACCTCACTGTTTTGCCCCTTTTTCCAGACCATTTATGAATATGTTGAATAAGACTTGTCCCAGTACAGAATCTTGGGGGAACACCACTATTTACCTTTTGTTTCCTATCTTTTTAACCAGTTACCAATTCATGAGAGGACCTTCTCTCTTATCCCGTGACCGCTTACTTTGCGTAAGAGCCTTTGGTGAGAACTTTATCAAAGGCTTTCTGAAAATCTAAGTACACTATATCCACTGGATCCCCCTTGTCCACATGCTTGTTGACCCTCTCAAAGAATTCTAGTAGATTGGTGAGACATGATTTTCCTTTACAAAAACCATGTTGACTCTTCCCCCAACAAATTATGTTCATCTATGTGTCTGACAATTTTGTTCTTTACTATAGTTTCAACCAGTTTTCCCGGTACTGAAGTCAGACTTACCGGCCTGTAATTGCCCTGGTCACATCTGGAGCCTTTTTTTAAAAATTGGCATCACATTAGCTATCCTTCAGTCATTTGGTACAGAGGCTGATTTAAATGATAGGTTACAGACTACAGTTAGTAGTTCTGCAATTTCACATCTGAATTCCTTCAGAACTCTTAAGTGAGTACCATATGGTCCTGGTGACTTATTACTGTTTAATTTATCAATTTGTTCCAAAACCACCTCTAATGACACCTCAGTCTGGGACAGTTCCTCAGATTTGTCACCTAAAAACAATGGCTCAGGTTTAGGAATCTCCCTCGCATCCTCAGCCATGAAGACCAATGCAAAGAATGCATTTAGCTTCTCCGCAATCGCCTTATCATCCTTGAGTGCTCCATTAGCATCTCGATCGTCCAGTGGCCCCACTGGTTGTTTAGCAGGCTTCCTGCTTCTGATATACTTAAATTTATTTTTATTTTTTTGCTATTACTTTTTGAATCTTTGGCCTTCCTAATTATAGTTTTACATTTAATTTGCCAGAGTTTATGCTCCTTTCTATTTCTATTTTCCTCACTAGGATTTAACTTCCACTTTTAAAGGATGTCTTTTTGCCTCTTGTTGCTTCTTTTACTTTGTTTAGCCACGGTGGCACTTTTTTTGTTTTTTACTATGTTTTTTAAATTTGGGGTCAACATTTAAGTTGAACCTCTATTATGGTGTCTTTCGGTAGCTGGGCATTAGTTAATTAGTACAGGAACACCTGGGCTTTATGAAGAGCCAGAATACAGAGGAAGCTTCTGGGTAGAGGAACTACCCCAGAACACAAATTTCCAGAGGAGTGATTACAAAGCTTTCTGGACAGGAAGGCCTAGGTGATTCCCTGAGTCATCAGGGGAGAGACTAGGCAGTGGAGAAGCCTGGGGAGTTACAGCTGAGGGAGAAGGCTTGTTTAGATACCATGTTTGGCAGTTGATTAAATAAACTAGACCCCAGAAGGGGCATTATTGACTGTATATGAGCCTCATTGAATTTATTGAAAGGCCACTAGGGGAAACTGAGGCAGAGACATAACTGCAGTTCCATACCCAGCGTGTTCCAAAGGCATGTCCACGCCTTTTGCTTAGCTTTCCATTGCTCATGAACTATATAATTCTTAGCTCCCAGCCTCACATCTCATTTTTAATTGCTTGCTTTATTTCAGTTTGATTTCAATTAATTTTCTCGGACAATTTTTGTCTGTGTTTTCTAAAGCACTGTTCACATCTGTGGCAGTACCCAAGAAATTGTTTCCTCTATAGTCATTCTCATTTTTGTCATCTCTTCGTCATTCTAATTGCTTCTGTCATGGTTATCCCACCTCTGCAACATTGTCTTGTTTCTTCCCCTTATCCTAGTCATCTTTGGTTTCTTTTCCTTCTCAAAGAAAAGGTTTCTTTTCTCAGATTCACTGCAAGTCTTTTTTCTGTGGTTATGCATGTTGTTTTAATTTGTTTCCATTTCCACTATATCAAGGAAATTTAATGTTTTATGCAGTCTGAAAAAGTACCACTGCCTATATGGTACAGGGTTGGTTCAGGTTCTGAAACTGAAATGTGGTTGGCAGGAGAGCTCTTAGGGCACGTCTTCACTACCCGCCGATCCGGCGGGTAGCAATCGATCTATTGGGGATCAACTTATTGCGTCTAGTGAAGACGCGATAAAATCGATCCCCGATGGCTCTGCCGTTGACTCCGGAACTCCACCGCGGCAAGAGGCGGAAGCGGAGTTGACGGCGGCGCGGCAGCGGTCGACTTGCCGCCATCCTCACAGCCAGGTAAGTCGACCTAAAACACACAACTTCAGCTATGCTATTCATGTAGCTGAAGTTGCGTATCTTAGGTCGAACACCCCCCTGTGTCGTTCGTCCCGTGTCTGTTCCCCCCCCCCCCCCTCGCCCCCGGTAGTGTAGACCCAGCCTTAGACAGCGAAGTCTAAAAGTGTAATTAGGTTTACTTTCACTATAGCATAACTGTGTTTCTTTTTTTAGGGTGCAGATATAGTTCGTCTATGGCATCTACACCAGACGTTACTGTGTTTTGATTATGACCTCGAGGAGACTAATGAAGTAAAAGATTTGTTGCTTCAGTGCTTTATGAGTGTTAACCATATAAAAAAAGAAGAGGTAAACAGACATTTTTCCATATGTTTTCAAATATTTTAAATGTTAACTTCTTTCGGAGTTAGTCTTTTTGTGACATCGTATTTGTGGAAGTACCAGTTCTTAACAAGTCATATAGTGAGCTTTAGACAGAAAATTCACCACTTATTTCAGGTAATGGAGCTAAGAGCCAATGTGTAGTTTTTCCTCCCCAAAGTGAAACTTGGTGTGTTTTTTTTTTGCTTAGTAAAGACAACAGGATTTGGCCCTATCTGTTATCATGCAAATACACACATTGTGAAACAGGCTTTCTGTTGACTTTTGTCTCCCTCAGCACAGACAAACCATTCTGTGCTGCAGGAATGTTGTCAAGAAAGGGAAAAAGCACTCCCAAGTGAGTAACCTTCTTTAACTACAGTATAATTGTTACCCTTCTGATTCCATATCATAGCCCACTTTTGGAATTATGGAAGTATTATCAGTTTCTGCAAACTCAGATTTGTACTGCATTTGCAGAAGTCTTAAACCTGATCTCTTTTCAGTGAAGAATTGCTTTCAGCTGTAACTTTTTACTTCGGTTTGCACGTTAGGGAATATTGAGGTCTATACATTACACACCTTCCAATGCCATAGCACGGACTGAAACCAAGATATATTAAGCCAATGGAGAAAGTACAGTAATGAACTAGTTTTATTCTGGAAGGGGAGGAGAAGCTTATATATTTTTTTCTAACACTACAGCAAAAACAAATTCTAAATTTGTTACTGTCCCCTTGACTTAGTGCATTCAAAGGTAATGAAAAAGTCTGAGAACCGTGCTTGCTTGGTCACACCCTATACTACAGTAACTAAATATAATTATATGAATTAAGGGTAATAGTAGCCATGTTAAATAATTTTGTTGCTCTAGTTAGGTAGTTTCTGAATGATCTGGTTTACTTTAATATTGCCTAATTATATATGGACAATAGAAGCATTGAAAACTAGCTGTTAGATAATGCAGATTTATACATTTGTATATCTTTTAGCAACAAATCAACATGTATGCTTGTTTCCCCAAGTCTTGTTTTTTTATAAGGTCTTTACTTGTTACTACAGACCTATTATTCCATAGACAAACCACAATTCCAGTTTTCCTCAGGCTGAAATATTTTGACTATGGAACAAATCTGTGTTGTTATTAAAAAAGACTTTAGAAAATCACCACGTGCAAACAGTTTCTCTGCCTTTTAAAAGATAGTGCATTAATGTGGTTCTACACCTGACTTAAAATTTTTATTAAGGGGCTCTTAGCACGAGGTGAACTGTACAGTACCTGGAGAACTTAGCCTGAACTTGTATATAGTACTTAGCATATTGGGTTCTTGATCTCCAGTTTGAGTCCCTAGGCACTACTGCAGTAGAAATAAATACTAAGTAATTCTTCAGTTATACTAGGCAATAAAAATGCTTAAGAATCTTACAACTTTTCTTAAACAATCAGAATATCACTTAAATATATGCATTTTTTTTCTTTAGGAAGCATTACCTGCGACCTTAAGTTCTTCGAGTGCTTGCTCCTGTCCATTCCAGCGTAGGTGTGTGCTTGCCCTGAGCACCGCCTCTGGAAAGTTTTTCTCTCAGTGGTATCTGTTGGGTCAGCTCTGGTGCCCCTTGGAGTCGCACCCTCATAGTACTGTTATTTAGGGCCCTGCCAACCCCTCAGTTCCTTTTTACCACCCATGACAGTCGCTGGAACTACTGCTCATCCTTGTGGTTTTTTTGTTTTGTTTTGTTTTTAGTATCTCTCTCAGTAGACTTTGCTGATTATCTGTAAATACTTCTTTTTCTAGAGTTTGAGTTTGTTCGTTAGTAGCAGACACAACTTAGTGGGGTTAGCCCTTCCTTGGCATCAGGGTAGGCCTCGGACCCCAAGGTTCAAGCCTTGTGCATCATGCCATAAGCCGATGCTAGTTAGCAACCAACATTCCATCTTCCTCAAGTGTCTGGTGGGAGACGCACATGGAGGAGTGTTGCAGGATTTGCAAGGGCTTTAGGCTCAGAACTAAAAAGGATAGAGACACTAGACTCAAGTTCCTCCTGATGGAGGCAGTGTTTCGTCCCCCTTCCGAGCAGAGTCACGTTGACCCAACACCGCGTACTTTGGCTTCAGTAAGAAGCACCTTGGCATTTCTAAGGGAGATAGAGATGGGAAGGACTCCATGTGTATGGCGTTATGCCATCACCTAGCAAACTAGAGATGATGTGAGTTTCGGCCAAGCTGTTAGTGTGTCAATGAACTTCGAACCCTCCACCTGCTCGACTGCTTAGGAGTCGCTTACATTGGAATGGACGTGAGCAAGCACTTGAAGAAAAAATGGTTACTAACTTTCTGTAATTGTTGTTCTTTGAGAGTGTTGCTCATGTCCATTCCAAAACTCCCTCGCCTGCACCTCTGTCAGAGTTAGCCGGCAAGAAGGAACTGAGGGGGCGGTGGGGCCCTATATACCACCGGTGTCAGAGCACAACTCCAGGGGGTAGAGCTGATACAACAGACAACACTGGGAAAAACTTTTCAGTGGTGGTACTTGGGGTGAGCACATACCTACATTGGAATGGACATGAGGAACACATTTCAAAGAACAACAGTTATGGAAGGCTAGTAACCGTTTTTTCTCAGTTAACAACTTGAAATGGATCTTAAATTGATTCCTGATTTGGGCTTATTTCCGTTTTTTTCCTTAACAGGGAAGAAGATTCCTTAGCTTTCTGTTGAGCTGGAATGTAAACTTCATTAAAATGATCCATGGGACTATTAAAAACCAGTTGCAGTGTTTTTCAAAGTATGTATCATAGTTACAGTGATTGCCATTATGAATGCTGGCCACACTTTGCTTTCAGTTTTCAAAGATGGAACATCTAGCTTATGGATGAAATACACCTGAATGAAAAGATCAGATTCTACAAATATAATGAGTAACTTCCATATTGCTTCAATAATTCTGTGTCTTTATCTTGTCTATACAGTGGATGCTGCTTAATAGCAATAATGATATTAACTTCTGGCTAATAGCATCCTTTTTACAGGAACCAGTCCTGTTCCATTGACTTTAATGTTAATGGGATTCAAATATTGGCAACAGTCATGCCACTTTTTGATGTGTTCCATGGCTGCAGCCCTTGCCTGTAGCCGGGAGGAGAAACTGTGGGCCTGACAGCTGCAGGAAGGAGGAACTGCAGCCTGGATAGCAGGACTTTCTATGGGGAGTGGCGGTACTGGGGGCCACAAGACTGCACGGTACCTCTCTGCTCTCCAGGCTGTGCCCTGCCCTGTCTCTGTGGATCTGGGCTTGGCACGTCCTAGAGCTTCCTTTCATGGCTATAGCTCTTCAAATCTGTCTGCTGGGCTACAGCCAGCAAAGGAAGTTCTGGGACATGCGTTCCAAGGTTGCAGCCCAACAAACTTCCGTGCAGCTGTCCAGCTTGTAGCCTCCCCTATGTCGATGAAGAATGTATATATTTTTTTGTATTGATATTTTTTCTTTTTTAGCTGACTAAAACCCCAAGAACTCTCATATGTTTTACAAACTAATCAACTAATGTATTAAACATATTGTGAACCTAACTATATCAATCAGTAGCAACAAGTGGTTTAGCTATGTACAATTCTCAGAGTGAATGGGAGCCGAATGGCCAAAATGTCACGGAATCTCAAAATATATGGATGTTTATGTCAGCCAAACTAAATATTTTGAACCAGATGCTTTCATGTTGTCTCTTCATATTTTTAAACAAATTACAAAAACACACAGGCTTATTTGTACCTGTTTTGGTTTTAAATTTTACTTTTCCCCTGTAATATAAATGTAGTTCTATCCACAAAAAGGTTGACCCATGGCTTGTATCCCTGGCTAGGTAGTGCATGGCAAGCTGGGGTGTGAATGTACAGCATGCTACATGTACAGTAGGGAATTTTTTAGTACAGGATAGTAGGTCTGCACAGTCAGTTTAGTACATTGCAGGCTAGCATGCTGTACATGCACACCCTATCTTGCCATGTACTAACTAGCCATGAAGACAACCCTCTGTCTTTGTATATTTATATGTTGTCTAACACAATGGGGCATCAGTCCTAATTGGATTACTACAATTAGATATATTGCAGAATATCAAAAACTAGCACAGGCCCTCTGGATAGGGACAGTATTGTATTTGCCTAATTGGAAGAATTCATCTGGTTTGATAAATTACTAATAATTATGTAGCATTTTACTGTTATATGGTACCAGTTTAAAGAGATTTTTCAGAGATTTGCAGAGATTAATTGCCAAATTGTTCAGTAAAGATAACAAGTTATTCTTTTTAAGTTAAAATAATTTGCATAATGCTTCTGATTTAGAACTGTTGTCTTTTTCAGATTTGCTTTTTAAATAATTTAAAGCACTCGAGATTCAGTGCAAGTATTTTATTCTATATAAATTCGTCAGTTCTCTCGCTTCTGAAATGTGCAAATACTATTATGCTTAGCTCTTTTGGTTGTAGTTCTTATTTCATTAATATAAGATTAAGGCATGTATGCTGCCAAAGGAGACTGCACAATACTGCATATATTGGAATGTAAAATTAAAAACTGCATTGCTTTGGAAACATACCCCTATCTTTTTTTTTTAAAGATCAGGTAATGTATAATACCTACAATAATATTCAGTGGGTGCTTGGTTTTCTCTTTAAATATAAAATTTTATTGGAGGTTTCCTTTGAAATCTGTAACTGAGTAAACTTTATATTCTTCTGTTGGTGTATTAATTACTAAAAGAGATTTCAAGTTTTTGCTGGTATTAAAAACAGTGCTGCAAGAGAATGTGTAATACCCTCAAGACCCATTGCCACTCAACACCGACAAACATTAACTTTTTATAAAATATTTACTGTAAAGATGGTATAAAGTTTGATATTTCTTCTCTCTTAATTTGTTAACACAGATCTCTGATGGCATATGTTGCAGAAATTTATTTTAGGGCTTGGAAGAAGGCTTCAGGAGAGATCTTAGAGGTACATACTCTGATTTGAACTTGCTATTAAGATTAGTTCATCTAAAGATACTTTGAAATTGATCCAGTTAAAAGGTTCAGAATTATTTTTTCCTTTTGACAGTTGTATAGCTCTATACGCACCTTTATCCAACATTTCTCCCTTCAGTTTTGGCCTCTAGATCTGATGCCTTATTTGGGTACCCCCTACTGGGGTTGTGTAGTAATTTTTGTTGTCAGAAGGGGGTCATGGTGCAATGAAGTTTGGGAATCCGTGCAGTAGATTAATGCTTTGATGAATGAAAGTCAATGTGGCTTGCTGAAGAACTAAAACAACTCAAAACAATGCCACCTCTGAGTTTAAGAGCACAATACATCTCTAATCCCCAAATAAAACTTTTCATTTGAATAGTTTATTGTTGTAGACTTAGAACTATTAGCCTTTAAATATTTACAGTTAATACTTGGGCCACACCATTTGCAGCACATACATTCAATTTCATCCTTTTCTCCTGTTTTTTGTTTTTTAAAAACTTTTGAATACTTTCTTGTCTTCTGAAACACGTTCTGATACAGATTTTCGTTTTCTTCCTATTTTAGTGTGTCAGATCTTTAAACCGTTATCTGTAAGGTTGTGGATTAATTGCAGTTAATTTAAGAGATTAACTAAAAAAAATTAATCGCAATTAATCGCCCTGTTAAACAAGACCAGTTGAAATTTATTAAATATTTTTGGGTGTTTTTCTACATTTTCAAATATATCTATTTCAATTACACTGCTCTACAGCCAAAATGCTTCTGAAATAAATGTAGTCAATTCTGGGTCACTGAGAACGAAAATGATGCTTAAAATTGTTGATTGGTTCTAGTTTTCAAGATATGCTATTGGGTCAGTATATACAACTCTTGACTTGGGAATGGCGGAGGATAAGTGAGTTATAAAGGGAAGGGATCTCAATTTAAACCAGAAATGACTAAAATACATCTTTGAGTGGCTCTATGAATAAATCTATGACTGGGTTTGGACAGTACTTGCTTTTTAGGCAAAACAATGAATGCTGCAATCTGAAGCTGGTATTGCGTCATACATGATATGAATTGCATCATGTTATTCCTAGAAGTCATGGATGATGCAATCATATC